TATAAGTCAAGTATACTTAAATGTCATTTTAAGTATATTTCTGATAAGTACATAAAGCCCATTTCTGAGAAGTACATAAAAAGTAGACTAAAAGTATACTTTCCAATTTTTTTTATTTTAAAATAAGTATACTAATAGCACACTTGAATAAACTTGTTTTTCGTAAGGGACTTTCAGTTGTCATAGGCATCATGCTGACATTTACAAATGATTTGATACTTGCATAGAAGATACACAATGTGACTAAAGTGTGGACAGCCAGATCTTAAAATCAGGATTTGGGTGCACAGTTTCAGGGCAGTTTGGAGTTCTTTTTCCATTTGATCATCGTATTTATTACCACCAGATGGAGACAGAGGCTAACCTAACAGAGCAGAATTCAGGCTTATTCAAGGACAGCTTTTATTTATTTATTTATTTATTTATTTATTTATTTATTTATTTATTTATTTATTCTTGAGTTATGTGTATCTTAAACTTTGATGATTTTCCCACATAATTTGATGTGTGTGTGTTTGTTTGTGTGTGTGTATATATATATATATAATAAATCTACTTAGAAACACAAACGTTTCTGTCTGCTAATTATCTATTACAGTTATTTGAATTATGTTTTTATTTATATTATATACTTAATGTGTTACACATAAACAATTATATTTTGACAATTAATATTAAACTTTAAATTAAAATGTATATATGTACATATAAATAAAACTTTAGGAAATATAAAGCTTTCATAATTAGCTTGTGTTTTATTTTAACCTAATCTGTCTGTCTGTCTATCTATCTATCTAAATTAAATACATTTGTTGATTCACTTGCATTTGTTTCTTTTCTCTTTCGCAAGCATTACGTCTTGCTTTGTAAAAGCATTTAATAAAAAGAACGATCAAGGCAGCTAGATCTAATCTCAGAAAACTGCCTCTTCCCCTAAAGATGGGCTCGCTCAACACCTCTTCAACAAGGTGATGGATATGATTATTCCTATGCTGTCCTATCTATTATAACCAGTATAGTATGACTGAAGGCATTGCTCTGGCTCATATTAAGCGTCCAGTTGCGTCCACCCCTTAAATCCATTTCTAAATTACTATTTGTAAAGTCTTACATCATCAGTGCTATTGGTCATTGCCTTTTCAGTTTTACTTATTAGTGTCATTTAAAAAAATCAGCAGCATTACTTTGACAAATGTGACCCTGCAGCACAAAAGCAGTCATAAGTAGCACAGGTATATTTGTAGCAATAGCCAACAACGCATTGTATGGGTCAAAATGATTATGCCAAAAATCATTAGGATATTAAGTAAAGATCATGTTCCATGAAGATATTTTGTAAATTCCCTACCATAAATATGTTAAAACTTTATTTTTGATTAGTAATATGCATTGCTAAGAACTTCATTTGGACAACTTTAGAGATGATTTTCTCAATATTTAGATTTTTTTGCACCCTCAGATTCCAGATTTTCAAATAGTTGTATCTCGAAAATATTGTCCGATCCTAACAAACCATACATCAATGGAAAGCTTATTATTCAGCTTTCAGATGATGTATAAATCTCAAT